ACTCCAGATCACATTGCAGCCTTGGGCTAAAACAGACAAAAGAGCTGAAGTCCAGAGATGAGAGTCACTGCCCTTGACACCACATTTGACTGAGTGTTGCATCAGAAGTCCTAGCAGAACTGGAATCGTAATAATCAAGGGGGAGAGTTCTCCTTAGCATGGCGTTATACTGGGTACATAGGAAAATGGCTGTGATTGTTGTAGGTCAGTTATCTCATCTCCAGGACATCTCATGGGAGTTCCTCAGGGTCCTAGAGCCAACTACATTCAGCTGCTTCATCAATGATACTCCATTGGTGAGAAGTGAAGATGTTTGCTGATAGTTGCATAACGTTCGGCATCATTCGCGACTCGTCAGGTACTAAAGCAGCCCATATTCAGCCTGCACAATATCCAGGCTTGGGCTGAACAGTGACAAGTAACATGCATGCCACACAAATGCCAGGCAATTATCATCTGTAACAGGGGCCAAGGTAACCAATATTCCTTTACATTCAATGGCATGACTATTGCTAGTCTATGCATTGAATCTTCCACTGCCAACATCCTTGGGGTTACCATTGATCAGAAACTCAACTGAACTTGCCATATAAATACAGTGGTTACAAGAGAAGGTCAGAGGCTACGAATACTACAGCGAGTAACTCACCTCCTGACTTCCAAAGCCTGTCTATCATCTACAAAGCACGTGTCAGGAGTGTGATGGAATATTCCCCACTTGCCTGGATGAGTGCAGCTCCAACAACATTCAAGAAACTTGACACCATCGCGCAGAGTGGCACCACATCCACAAACATCCACTCCCTCCACCACCAATACTCAGTAGCGCAGTGTGAACTATCTACAAGATGCACTGCAGAAATTCACCAAACCCACGACCATTTCCATCTAGAGAGGACAAGGGCAGCAGATACATGGGAACACCACTACCTGCAAGTTCCTGTCCAAGCCACTCACCATCCTGACTCGGAAATATATTGCCGTTCCTTCACTATCATTGGGTCAAAATCCTGGAATTTCTTCCCTGAGGGCATTTTTTTTATTCATTCACGGAATGAGGGCACCACTGGCTAGGCAGCATTTATTGCCCATCCCTAATTGTCCAGAGGGCAGTTAAGAGTCAACCACATTGCTGAGGGTCTGGAGTCACATGTAGGCCAGACCAGGTAAGGATGGCAGTTTCCTTCCCTAAAGCACATTAGTGAGCCAGATGGGTTTTTCCGACAATTGACAATGGATTCACAGTCATTATTAGACCCTTAATCCCAGATATTTATTGAATTCAAATTCCACCATCTGCCATGGTGGGATTCGAACCCGGGTTCCCAGAACATTATATGGGTCTCTGGATTAATAATCCAGCAATAATATCACTAGATTGCCTCCCCTGTGGGTCTACATCTCCAGAACATGGACTGGAACAGTTCAAGGAAGCAGCTCACCACCTCTTTCTCAAACGCAACTAGGGACGAGCTATAAATGCTGGCCCAGTCAGTGACGCCATAAGCGAATGAACAAAAGAGGAGAGATGCAATTGCAAATCTTGCAAACCTTGGGGGATTCTTAGTGCAAAAACAAATGTTGATAGATTATTCAGTTGTCCAAAGTATGTTCCTATGTTGTTGCTCTGTTTTTGGATTTAGCCAGGAATGCAAGGCTATCAGTTGGTCCAATTGGATGTGTTTGTGAATACTGGGTTGTTTGGAACAACACCCTTTCCCAAGATAATCTGCCCAGAATTAAGGCACTGATTACTCAAAACCATTTCAGCTGGGTAAGACCTAAAATCCTGAGTGGGAATAGCCCATTTGGCTCATTGAACCTCTACCATGGCTCAAAAAGATCCTAGCTAATCAGAAACCCTTTATCTTTAAACTGTACCCACTTGTTCTAGATTTCTCGTAAAAGGAAACATTATCTCAACATCTGCCCTTCAATACCTCACATGTTTCGATTAAATCACCAAATCCCAATGAGTATATGTCCAATTTGTTCATCCATTCCTGCGAGGAAAACACCTGCCATGAATCAGCCTCGTGAACCTTCTTCAAATATGTCCAGTCATATCCCTGACACCAGCCTCTCAAATGCAGCTGCTCTTTGCTGAAGTCAGTCATGACAGAGACTCCCTGGGAAGGTTTTAGCAATGTCCTCAAGCCATCCCTGAAGAGATCAAACATGTCTACTGACTCACAGCAGTCCCTGACTTTAATGAACTAAAATGGAAAAGGTTCATTTGGAAAGACATTTGAACGCATTAAGAGACTTTGTTGGGAACACACGGAGGTGAAGTCAAGGCACTGGCAAGAGCATGAACTGTCCGAACAACTCAACTATCTGAGCCTTCTAGTGCATTCTACCCCACATCTGGCAGAGAAGGTAGATCATGAATCAGCCATTTTAGAACCCAGCAATTCAGCGTGGATGTAAATCAGACTTCAGATTTTTTTTCTTTTGTACAGGGGATGTGGACATCTCAGTAGTTGGGGCAATCCGCAGGTGGACAGAGGAAGTGCTTCAGGGATACCCTCAATACCTGACTGGCAAAGTGTGGCATTCCCATAGACATCTGGGAATCACTAGCCCAAGACTGTCCACAGTTGAGGAGGAGCATCCAGGAAGGAATCAAGCATCTCAAGACTTACCATCGGGAAAAAGCAGAAGACAGGTGGAAAGTGTGTAAGGAGCACGCTGCCACACCGATGCCCCCACCCCAGCTCTTCCCACAACCACCTTCAGACCCAAGCACTGTAGAGTATGCAGAAGCTGCATCAAACTGTACAGCCACTAACAGGCTCACCCTGAGAGTGGAAGAGTGTCAACCTCATCTGCGAGGGACCGTTGATGATGATGATGACGATGATGCCTAACTGCCATAGAGAACGTGGTGGTGAGCTGCAATTCTTGAACTGCTGCAGCCCATGTGACAAAGTGACTCCTACAGTGCTGTTAGGAAGGATGTTCCAGGTTCTTTTACCCAGTGACAATGAAGGAATGGCAACATGGTCTTTTTTTCATTCATTCACGGGATTCATGTGTGTCGGCATTTGGGCCACCATTTATTGCCCATTCCTAATTACCCCTTGATCTGAGTGGCTTGCCAGGGCCATTTCAGAGGGCAGTTAAGAGTCAACCACACTGCTGTGAGGAAAGGCACTCAGAGAACCTTCAGTCCTAGAAGTAGTAATGGATCCTGATATATGTTACATAGCGAAGAAGTATTTTCCAAAGGAAATTGAATACCTGACAGTTATTTTGTTAACACTGAACCAGATTTATGTCTGAGCATTTGATTAAATGGTCACCCTGTTAAGGTTCAATTGATTTTTGAATAATGTATTAAATCGTTTAGATTGAGCTTCCATTTGACTGTGATCTAGATAATTATGATCAGAAAGGTAAATACACATGGAGGAGACCTACACTCCTGTTATGTACCCTTCCAAGTGCATCGATTCCTTAGGGGCTAGTGTGAGCAAGGTAAAAAGTTGCCCTAATACAACTGGATCATAGAGCTGCTGTCTCAATAGAGAGAAGCGATTGATGGTGGTTTAACCTGAGGGTCACCAGTCCTTAGGCGAGGGGAGAGGTTAGGAAGGAGAATCTTTCATGGTAACCTTAGTTGGTGTGGAAGCAGAACCCATGGTGTTGGTATCACTTTGCACTGCAAGCCAGCCTTCCACCCAAATAAACTATCCAATGCTATGAGTGCAAGAATAGCTACCTTTAGATCTAATTAGCGAATTCTTGTAGAGTAAACAAGATACAGTTTACTACATCTCGGTAATTATTTACATGATCTTAAGAGTAGGCTCTATATTACTATAATGATTGTTGGTAGGACCTAACCTTATGTCTGTCTCCTATGAGATCCTACTTTACTCTGCCCCAGATCCTCATGACATAATCACAGTGGGTGGTGCTTGTTGCACTCAATTAAGAGTTAACCCTTTCAAACCTTTCCAGAGCCATATACAGCACAGTCCATCTGTCTTGTCCTTACGTATGGTTCCCACATAGAATCCCTACAGTGTGGAAGTAGGGCATTCAGCCCGTTGAGTCCACACTGACCCTTCGAACAGCATCCCATCCAGGCCGACTCCCTTACCATATTCCTGAAAGCCTGCATTTCCCATGACTAAGCCACTTAGCACATCTTTGGACACTCTGGGGAATTTAGCATGATCAATCCACCTAAGCTGTGCATCTTTGGACTGTGGGAAGATAGCAGAGCACTTGGAAGAAGCCCGAAGAGATACAGGGAGAGCATGAAAACTCCACACAGACAGCCACCTGAGTTTGGAATTGAACCCAGGTCCCTGGTGCTATAATGTAGCAGTGCAAACCACTGAGTCACCAGGCTTTCTGTACTCCAAGCAGAATAAGCCCAATTTCTTTAATCTTCCCTTGTATCTAAGATCCTTCTTTCCTGGTATCCTTCTCAGCACCTATCTCTTTTCATGTATTGCCCTAAAGTTAGAATATTGCAATTAACCTTTAATGTTCCACCGAATAACTAATATACTCCTCCAGGACCCTACCATTTAATTAACAAGGAAATCATGAGAGAAAGTTATGCTGTAGGGTGGAAATTACAGAAATAATCACTGGCTAATGCACTACAGCAAGTTACTGGTTTTACAATTACTGGATCAATATAAAAATCCGATACTTTTAGTTCCCTGGCTTAGAAGGGGCAATGCCATACAAGATGAATCCACTGTTTAACAAAGCCTGAGTCGGCATATACATTCAAATTGATGAGTCCTAAAACCTCTCTATTTAAAATATAAGAATGCTTTAACTCTTATTTAGAGAAAAATCAACTGAGATTCATACCAAAAAGGGCTCAGTTATTTTATAGTTGTCATTTGTATTTAGTGCGAACTAAAGATTGGCTGTAACTTAATTGGATGAAATACATTGACAGTTCCTGGAAACATATGGGTATTCTGAAAGTTAAAATAGTTTCAATACTATTCCCTTTTTTTCATTGTCAGGTTAATGAAATTTACCACGATAAATCACTGGGAGCCCATGTAAATGTTGTGCTAGTACGAATGATTATGCTGGGATACGCAAAGGTAAGATTGAAGTCAAACTGTTCACAGTCTATCAGATTTTTGAAATTTCTATTTAACGTTTATTTTTGCTGAAATGATCTACAAGAAAGGTGACAAATTAGAAGGTGTGAGCAGGTTCATGCTGATTATGTGACATTTTGAAATATCTTACATTTCAAAATGGGACATTTTAAATTTTTCATCTTTCTTCTGTGTGGTGTATTGAATTGCAAATTATTTGATTATACCCCTATGGCAAGTGTTGAGGAGAACTGACAGCTGTATTAGATGTTCTTTCAGGATGTAGTTCACAAGTTATTAAAGTACACAATTGATTCACCTTTTCTTGCCAAGTCAAAAAAGATTTTTGTGGAGTATCACTGGGTGGAAAGTGACTTCATCTCTTACAGAGACTTGGTCATTGAGGGATTGGTGACATTTAACAATTTTGAAGGACACCAACAAGGGATGCCCCATATAATTGTCCCAGATACATCTTTCCCTTTAGGGCCACAATGGGGACAATATGGCTAGGGTGCCATAAAATCAGGCTGGCTGCTGGCATGATGTTCCAACAGCTTTCTTCTGTGGTTTGCAAATTAGGCAACATTTGGTGCATATCTCTTTGTGGCTGAGCACAGAATAAATCTCAACATGAAGCACCAAATCCTTTAGCGTGACAATTTTCTTTCTCCAAGTTAAAGGAATCCAAAATAGTAAGTTTTCTTGCAGGCATCATGTCAAATAGAGAACAAATTGGAGCATTATACAAAAACACCAAGTACTAATGACCTGATCAATGGGATAATACTTTAACAAAATGCTTGCCCATCACAGGTGATGGAAGTGCTCATTTCTGAGGTATATAGTCATTTCCTTCTTCCAGCTTTGAGATAGAGGTCTCCATTCTGTCCAGTCTCCTTTCCACTGACGTTGTCCATAATATTGTGCCTATGTCACTGATATATCAAAACGATTTCTGTCAACTTGTCTCTTGTTTGCTGGTCATCCTCAGGTCTATTGACCCTCTCACTGACCTCTCCAAAACACTTCCATCCAGTGATGATTGTACCCCCAGATCCTCGGTGAGTGTTCCCGCTCTGGTGACTCACTAGGTCATAGAGATACATTTGGTTTCTGTTTTCACTGGTTCTTTTTCAAATGGTGCTGGGTGTATATTTTCCAGTGTTCTATGTGACTTATTGGTACCTTGGAGTCTGGATGACCAAGATGTTCCGAGAGGATAATTTGATAATGGGTAACATTCAGCCTCATATTTATTAAAAGAAGTGTGCATGTTAAAACCCATGTTCTCAGCATGGAGCCTTACCAATGATGCAAAGCATAAAATCTAGGTTACAAGGTAGCTCCATCTGAATTACTGTGCTTACGCTTAGGAGAAGGATAAATTCTAGAATTAAGCTTCTCAGAATTGCTCGCATTATGCTCTGAGAAATAATGTCAGCCTAGGAGGAAGCTAGCATCACTGCCACTGTGCATGTGACTGCACATTTAAATCTGCCATCCAGTGAATTTTAGCCCTAAATTCACCCTGGAGGATCATGGAGAGTAGCAGCATACCTTATCTTGATCACAACCACCGTTGTCCAGTAGCAAACCTCAGGCCATCCAGTTAATTTCAAACATCGGAACATGTCAGCTCATGAAAACTTAACAAAACGAAATATTCTCTGATTAGTCCATCAGTTTGATCGAAAGAGGGAATCCATCTCGAAGTTTGGAGAATGTCTGCCGCTGGGCCAATTCTCAGCAAAAAGCAAACCCGAACCACTCAGAGCACCATGACCATGCCATCTTTTTAACAAGGCAAGATTTCGGTCCAGCGGGTATGCAAGGTACTGTATAAGGCTGTTGACAGGTTAAGTGAAATTAGCAAGGGATTCATTATTGTAATAGCACCAGGACTCTGCATGAAATTTTCTTGAGGGCTACTTTTTGAATATAAGGGTTTTTTTTTGGCTTTTTAGGGGCTAATTTTTATTTGCACTAATTAATGTATCAGGTGAATATGGTCATATACTCCTTCTGTGTCTGTCTTGACACATAGGGTAATTTGACTCTCAGAGAAGCAGAACTCACTATTATCCTCAATAATTATCAACCCTCCGTTCAGATTAAAGTCACAGTGCACAAGGCATGCATTGAGTTTCGAAACAATATTTAAATTGGCACCTGACATGAGGTACAAGTTAGCAACAAAGGTATTTTTCAAAACAACTCTCCTACAAATATCTTAATCATGCCTTAGAGATTGATGAGATCACCCTAATGTGGTTCCTTCACACATTCTCCAAAGCTGCAACATTTTAATCAGACCATTGCTACTCCTTGTAATACAGCTCAATTAATCACAGTTGACGTAGCGTTCATTACCACACCATTGACCGCATTTATCCACATGACGTAGCTGCAAAACTTATTCAGCTTTAAGATGGAAATTTTAGATTCCTTTGTAAGCAATTAATTATCTCATTGATTTCAAGTTTTCCTGGGTTCCAGTTAATTGAATAGTCCTTTATTGACAAGTTCACTGTTGTCTCTTTTTTGTGGCCTTTTTCCTCTTTCTTTCTTGTGGCCTTCCTCTTTCTTCACCGCTTGTAACCTCCCTTGCATTCCATCCCCTAACAGCACCTCCCTTTTCTCCTCCCAATTGTAGCCTTCCTCTCTCTCCAAACCCACCACAGCCTGTCTTGCCTCACCTCCCTTTGCCGACTCTCTGTGTCCCTCCTCCCCTTTGCAGGCTCCCTATCTCCTTCCATGACCCACGTCACTCCATGTCTCTCTTTGCCTCCAATGCCGCTTCGTTCTTTCTCCCCTGCAATGACAACACACACCCTAACCCCAGGCCCGACAGATGGCCCACCTCGGCAGAGAAAAGTGGCTGCTCCCTACCACACCACCTTCCGTCATGCCAGTCCTGGCTCTTGGAGCAAACACCAGTCACCAGCCCAGATTCCCAGAACCAGGTTTCAGCCTCAGCTGTCGGCCCTCTGGCAGATTTGTCCCAGGCACCTCCTTCACGTCCAATTACTAACTCGTCTAACTGCTGTTTCAGTTACAGATTGCTCCGCTGCCCTGTTGTTGAGGTTCACCCATGGTTTGTTCAGCATTTTGTTCCCTCTATTTGTGGGTTGACTATTCTGTGGTCAATCCTGCCTTTAAATTTTCCGAGGTATTCTGAAGTCTATTCACCGCCACCCGGCCCCGTGGGCTCCTTCTATTTTGAGTATTGCCTTGTACAGAGAATTACAATCTAGGCTTTTTAAAAAAAAATCCTTTTATGGGCTTTTTTTTCTTTAGAAGAAAGTACAGTTCTTTCGGCAATGTACAAAAGAAAGCTGAAACTTTGCCTAGGAAGGCAGGATCTGGCTGCACGGTGACAGGATATGGACACCATATGATGTAATGGCAGAGCCTGCTCTCCATAATCATAACACTTGGTCACAATAAGGACAGATCTTGCTATATAATGCTCCCACGAAATGCCTTGGGACTTTTTGTTATTTTAAAAGTGCGATATGGAGACAATATTAATACACCACAATGTCAGGACATGGTCAGCTAAATTCAAGACTATGGCCACTAAAACGTCAGGGCAAACTTACAACAGTGACAGGCTCCAGTCATGACAGGGGCTAGATCTGGGGACTGTGATGGGATGAGGACCTGGTCATCATGGGAAATGGATTCCATCCCAAAGAAACCAAACCTGGTCACCACAAAGGAAGAAATTGTTAGCAATTCTGGCATTTTTGCAAATTCCAAAATTGTTATCTTATGGCAGAGAAGTACCCTGGAATTAGCTACAAGGCATCTAAGGACTGCAGCAATTCAAAGAGATTTGGAATAAATGCAATGCTGCCAGGATCCTGAAAGCACATCTTAAAAAAAGAAAACAATTCACTGTTTCACGTTTTGGCAGTGTTTCTGTCTTTGATAGTTGAGACCTGTTAATAGCAACAAATCTGTCTGATGTTCCGTATGGTCTGCGCTATTGATCCAACATCCAAACCAGAGTCACTATTTGATCCACGCGCTAGCTATGAGTTATCCCTGCAATGTTTCATCCATGTTGGGTGTCATTATTTGAAAAATAAAAATGTACAGGATTACACAGAAAAAAAAACGAAGTAATGGTACCAAATAAATTGCCCTTTCAAAGGGCACACACAGAAATGATAAGTCAAATGGCTTACTACTGCATTATGACCATTTGATGGACCAGTTCTTAATTTACCTTCCCAGCCAGTCAAAAGGCAGGCAGTTGCAAAGGACCTTCCTGCCACTTATCCTCTTGTTTCCCAACCTGACTGAAATAATTCAACAGAGGCTAGTATTCTGTCACCAAGTCACCGTTAATTTACACGCAGAAAGTGCATGACACTGATTCATCTTCCTTGTTAGCAGCTCTCAGAGTGAGCAGAACCTCCTGTTTATATCTGTCAGTCAGGGCTCCCTGATTGGGGCTGTTAACCTGGTCCAATCAGGGAACACATATTCTCTGAGGTCCATCTGGCTGACCTCATTGCAGTCACTACATCCATACCCTGCCATCCAGCAGAATCATAGTTGCTCCTTCTCGCCTGCAGAATGGTATCTGAAACCACAATCTATTGCAAGAATGCAACATCTGAGCAATAACTGACACCCATAAACTTACACATTTGGGAGAAACAGGAAAAAATAGTCTCAGGATGGGTGGGCTTATCTGAAGACTTAATATCTAAGCATTTCCTCCATGATGAGTTAAAGGTCATCACACAGTTAAAGTACACACACAAGAGAAAAAATGTCAACACCACTTTCCCCTTCTGCTGCTGAATATTTGAATGTTTAGTTCTCCTGATACTTGAACAAACATCATTCCTTTTTACCACATCATGTCTGGCTGTGGACCTCTCAATCCCATTCTTTTTTGTCACTCCATGCTGACCCAAAGCTGTCAGCCTTTAAATGATTTTGTAGCCCCTGAGAATTGAACTATTTTAATACAATTCAAAACCAAATTTGTTTCATTCGTAATGATAGATTTTGTTTGCTCTTAGAAAAGTAAGTTGTTAGACACAACAAGCATTTTGATTGAGCTTGGCCTTATGTTTTCTTCACATATGAACCTTTGCTCTCCAGAAGTACACCTTAATGTTCCAAAACTCCCTTGTATGGAATACATCAATGTGCTGTGCTTTGGGGTCCTGATGTTTCAAGCTTTAAAGATGAAATTAATCACTGCTCAGACCTTAGCTGGAGTATTGCAACCAATTCTGGGAATGACACTTTACAAAAAAAACACAAAGGCTCTGGCAGGGTGACAGGGGAGATTTATCAGAATGAAAACAGGAATAAGAGGATTTAGATATATAAAGAAAAAAAGGACATAAAAAGATATGCAGGAGGCAAGAATCATCAATTCTGCTCGTCAAGCATTCTTCACTCTCCAATAAGGCTGTGATAAATCACATCATGATCTCAACTCCACTTTCCCACTTCCCCACAAAGCCCTCACACACAGGTCCCTCTGCATTTCAGACCTGCCATGACTTTTAGCTTCAGAAGAGAAAATTCTGCCCAATTTGTTATTTCAACAACTTCCAGGCTCCTGAGCTGTCAAGATTCAGTGGTTTGATGACCGTGAACGCTGATAGATTTGCCTATAAAATGGGGGTCACTATATTGTCCTCCTCTGATATTTTAAAGTTGCCTCTCCAAATGAAATGACAAACCCAGTGGTAATGCTTCAAACTGAGCTGGGACAGTGAGATAAATAGGGCACTTCAGTTTCCACTGAGTCCTAAATCGATTTTCAAAAGGAAAACCTTAAAAAAAGGGAAAATCCCAAGATCTAACCTTTTAACAAGGTCGGATCTAAGACATATAATTGCAAATATGCCCCCAGGAGAGGAAACGCTTAAGCTCCTGTATGCTTTACTAAACAGGCTGTATTTCATTAATATGTCTGGATTTGTACCGAGGAACCAAAAATAGTCACAGAGGGAAATGCTATCAATCTGAACTGCTGTCATTTAAACACTGTGTTCTCACTCCAATTCCCGAAATTCGAATTCTCACAAAAATATAAAGGACAGATCTACTTCTTTTATTGATTACAAAATGCTAGAGGAACAGAGATTTGTAAACCATCTCACAGTATAAATCATTCCATATGTCTGTGCTGGGCAACAAAGGGGAATTCTTTGCTTCCTGAGTTACATTCCCACCAGTCAACCGACCATAATGATTTCCATTTGGAGATACTGAACCGCATTGAGTCCCAAATATTTTTATGCCAGATCAGCTGAAAGGATGTTCCTGTTCACATCTACGAGTTCTTCATTAGTGTGCATTGTCCAGCAAAGCAAGCATTAGTACAAAACCAAGGAACAGTCTCAGAGGCTGCACTAACCTTCTCACTGCAAATGTGCTTTGACATTCTCTCAAGAAATTATCATAAGAATACAAGGTTTTCAGAATTAGGAACAGGCCAAAAGGCCCAAAAATGCCACTTCATTTGTGGCCTCAGACTGAGCCAACCATGGCTGCTGTTTCTAACCTCAATACTCACTGCTGTGGCTTCACAACATTATTATTCACTGGCATCTTCCCCAGGCTCAGCACTTACTGCTGCCTTTACTTCAGCCTTGCTCCTCACTGATCCAGTCTTCAAACTGTGGTTCTGTGTCCATCACTGTGACTGATCAACTTTCTGTATAACTCTTAGCAGCGTTTGTTCAGCCTATGTCTTTTTCACTCCCATTGTGGCATTTCCTTCTACTGCATTTGAACTTCTTTTTTCTCACTTCTGAGGTTTTATTTCTCATCATATTGGAACAATTTATTTTCCCTTCATTGAGTCTGAAATCCTTTTCTCATGGTCTAACTTCTCTCTCAAAGTCTACTTCTTTCTTCATGTCTCCATGAAGATATCAACATTAATCCTCTTTGCTAATTATTCACTTGAGATGCAGGACTACATCATCATAAACTTGGGCTCATCCAAAGGTTCCTGGCTGTGATCTAAATTGTGCCAAGTCCAACTTTCCCATTATGTATTGCTCACTAACCTCCATCAGGCCCTAATGGATGGCACTGTAGCTCACTGGCTAGCACTGCTGCCTCACAGGACTATGCACCTGGATTTGGTTCCAGCGTTTGGTGAATATCAGTGTGGAGCTTGTATGTTCTACCTGATTCTCCTTGGTGCTCCAAAGATGTGCAGACTAGGTGGATTGGATGTGGTAAAATGCAGAATAATGGGGTAGGATGTGAGAGCTGGGTCTGGGTGGGATGCTGTTCAGAGGATCAGTATAGGCATGATTGATGGAATGGCCTCTTTCATCACTGCGGGGATTCTATGATCCTCCTGATCCTGGTGACTTTGCAATCCGTCAGTGAGTCAGCCAGGTTGAGGCCTTTCTGTGTGACAGAGTTGGAATGTTCTATCAGAAAAAACTAGTGAATCTAATCTCAGTGTTCATGTTACCAGAGGAAACATCACCTGACACCCTGCCGACTCAGGTGGCATCCCACCTGGATGTCACCTTACCATCTCTCACCTCAAGTCCCCACCCGGTGCCCACTTGCCTCACTTAACCACACTCACTAACAAAGAATCATGAGTATTAAATAGGAAAAATTAATCTCACTTAGAGTTATTGAGTGACAATGTCATTGAATGTTTAATAGAATATTTATAAAAAATATGTAATATTTACAACCAGCTAATAACAATAACATTAAATGCCAAAACAAAACAGGAGAAAATATCAAAGTCCATGTGAACCTGTAAGCTGATACAGGTATTTAATTTCCCTTGCAGTTTAAATCCCTGTGCTCTCTGCTCACCCCTGACTGTTCTGTATAGTTTTTGTTTCCATGCCAGGGAAGGAGATATTTATTTTAGAGGGAGTGCAACAAAGTGTCAGATGCACAGTCTGTTGTTGACCTTTACATAACCAATGAATGCCCACTTGAAGTCCTCATTTTCTCCTGTCAATATTTATCCAGAGCATCCCATCCAGACCCATCCCCCTACCCTATCCCTGTAACTGTGTCTAACACACCTAATCTACACATTCCTGGACACTATGGGCAATTTAGCGTGGCCAATCCACTTAACTTGCACATTGTTGGACGGTGGGAGGAAACCCACACAGACACAAGGAGAATGTGCAAACTTCACACAGACAGCCACCCAAGAGTAAAATCGAACCCAGGAAGCAGTGCTAACCACTGAGCCACTGTGCCACCCCCGTTGGGGCAAGGGCCATGCTAGGCTTTATCCCTTCTGGTCCATATGCAAATCCACAGACTCTGTGCATGATTGGTTCTTCATGTTCCCAGAGCAAGAACGTGCATCACCTACCTCCCAAGGATAAATTAGAGAAAGGGAAATAATTGAGTATTTTTAAGGGTGGTGTAATTGTGGAGGGGTATGATTACAAATGGATTGAGACAGCCACGCAGTAAAACACATACAGGACTGGATTTTCATGGAATTGGAGAGAGTCTGGAAGTGGTTGGTACTCCAGAGTTTCTGATTTTCGCCAGTGCTATTTAAGGGTGTGAATGGTATTTGTCCATGAACCTGTATGCTGTATTGTGAGCTGGCCTGCTCTATTCAGGGGATAGACCTCCATAATGTACATGGCATAGAGACAGCTTTCAAAGGACACAACATCTTATGGGTGTCATGATCGTAGCTTGGATGAGAGAACCGTTTGAAAAGCTCAGAAGATCTTACCCATACCCCTCATGGTGAGCTACGCTTCACATTTACCAGTCTTATCTGAGAACTCAGATGACCATAAAATTGTTCAAATAGCTCTGACAAAGGGAATACTTGATTTTACTGACAGTTCCTATTGTCCAATCTATTCTGAAAATTATGCAAAGTTTATTTACACAAGATAAAGAGGGTTCACGTACTTACAATTTCTGCCATTGATACTTTCAAATATCTGCCTGATCATCCCTTTAATTGGGACATGGGAAGTGTGAATTGAAAGTGAATACCTGCAAAGGATCAGGACGAGAGAGTCCTCCTGTTTTTATTTTGACTGGGATAATGTCCCTCAGCACTGAGGCCTGTCTTTTAAGCTGCCCACCCCCAGTACCTGTCAGCCATTATGGCTGCCTACAGACTCATTCAAGAGGCAGCTGGCCTAACTCTGCCTGCAACTTTGCTCCCACAATGAAAACCCTGCCTTCTGAGTCATTTTTCCCAAAGTGAACCTGTAGAACAGGGAATTTTCCAACTTCTGCTGCATATCTTGAATAATGAAAAATCAGCTGATGAGGTATTCAGTTGGGAGTAGTTATTATGAGTAGAATTTAACAGAATTAAATTCCCTGACTGAGGGACACGGCATTGGAAAGGTTGTGGGAGTTGGGGGTCCTGATGAAAGCCTGACCCTGCCTTTGATGCGGACTTATCTCGCTCACGACCTGAACCCCATGACATGCCCTTCATCATTCATCTGTTCCTCCTCCTCAATCCAAGGCATTCAGTGGGTGTCATACCTACAGCAGCCACCACCTGCCCAGTGGTGCTACTGAGCCAGAGAAGAGCTGCTGCCCTTTGCTGAGGCAGTAGCTCACAGGGGGCAGGACTTTAGCCCTCCATGTCATTGATCATCCAGCCTCTGACCTTGCAAGTGCCTGAGTGCCATGCGATGTGGTGACGTTTCCAAGCAAAGACAGCTCGAGGCTCCTGCCAAACCTCCACCTAGTAGCCGAAATCTTTGTCCCCACCATTAAATCCAGCCCCTATGACGAGAAGGATAGTGGTCATAGATGTTAAGGATGGATTAAACATAACATGGGTACCGGGGAAGAGGGCAGTGAGGAGGAAGTGAAATTCTTGGATGGTAGACACTTCATGTAGATAGAGATTGTGGGGTGAGATTTGGAGATGAACTCTGGATTTCACTGACTGTATGCAGATCAAGACAAAGCTGCAGTTTTAAAAACAAATACAAATATTGCAGATGCTGGAAATCAGAAGTACAAACAGAAAATGTTCAGCCAGCCCAAGTAGCAACTGTGAAGGCAAACGGAGTTGAGGTTTCTGGTCGATGACCCTTCACCTGAATCTTAACTTTATTTCTCCCCAGGGAGACTAAGTATTTCTGTAAAGTTCTATTTTTATTTCAACAATTTTATTAAGATTTGTAGGACCTGGCCAGTGCTTGTTGATTTTGAGAAATTGACATTTGATCTCTGAATAAAACCACTGCACTGTGTGTGATGAAGGTTCTGCAATAGCCTGTCAGGTAGGCCGTTCCAAAATTTTGAGTTAGTAATGATTACATTAGCTCTGTACAGTTACAGACATGATGTGGATTATGCTGGCATTGTAGCATTGAAGACAAACACTGGTAACCTAAGTTAGACATCTAGAGAAAAAGACAATTTGCATTTTCAATTTATGTGGACTCAACCATCCTGTCAGTTTTGTTGTTTGTTACTAACTTGCACTCTTGCTGGTTTTCATTCTCTTTGACCTTCTGCAGGGTATGCCCCAGTGACTGGAATGTGCCACCCAGTTCGCAGTTGTACTCTAAACCATGAGGATGGCTTCTCTTCAGCGTTTGTAGTTGCTCATGAGACTGGTCACGTGTAAGTTCTGAAAAAATGCATAATAAACCCAGTGCTTTGGAGTTCATGTCACATACAAAGCTGATCAACACCTGTTCAGTGAGGGTATGTAGGCTTCAAGCTGAATGGTCTGCAATTTAGACCACTGTTATCTGTGCTTTTCTGCAGCCTCTGTTTCTTCTGGGATGATGACCTCCCTTCTGTCACTGACACAAACAACACTATAGAGAACTAGAAAGGCCTTTCTTTTAACAGACCCTGTCTAGTTGCACTTCCCAGGACTCACCACCTTAATATGAAAGGAAGAAATCAAGAATTAGCATTTGTAAATGATCAAACAGTTCCTCAGGCCATTCGAGGCACATTACAACCAATTGATTGCAGGGCAACGGGAAAACAGAGGACGAGACTAATGAAATGAAATGAGATGAAAACTAATTGGGTTACTTTTCCAAAGAGTCGGTACAGGATTAAATTGACCTGGTTCTGTGCTGTATAATTCTGTACATGACCATATTTGAAGTGGGGTCTGGTTGTTATGCACAGAAATATAGCAGACAGTTTGCACAGAATGGCCAACAAAACATCACAAGATAGGATATCCAACTAACCTGTTTGGAAGGTGTTCAAGACTGGAACACTACAAGAATGCCAAACTCTGCTTTGAATAATGCCATTGGACCTATTATATGAGTCAAATGGGTCTTGGCTAATAAAAATACTCAGACTCATTTCTGTCAATTTTTTTTTTGCAAGCACACATTTATCTTCCCTACGTTTTAATTCTGCTGCTGAGGTGGAGAGAGCCTGTTTGGAGTGGAGCCCGTTGGCACTGAGGGTTTAGTCGGGTGACCCCCAGGGAAGCTTGCGTGACCTGCCAGTTGCAAGTTGAGCTTCCCTGTCTTGAGCCTTCAAGGATGGGGGCTGTATGGGGGTGCAGGCAGAGTGAAGGTGGAAGGACCGCCCACCTCTGGAGTGTCCTGAGTGGAGAATTCTGAGGGACCTTCTCCTCTGTCTGGGTGCGTCCTGGCACTGCCTTGCCTCCTTGTGAGGAAGGGTTACCTGGAGTGCATGCCTGATCGCCAAGCCTCGGTCACGTTCTCTCTGCCTGGGACTGAGCAGATATCTGGTTCCCGGGCAGTATTCTGAATGAAAGCGACCTGGAATGTTTCTTCCTCATCCAGCTGTATAGCTGTTGCAGTGAGGTTCTCACCAGCTTGTATTCCCACACTCATGATGCCAAATGTTCCCACTGAGCTGTCTGTCAGTATCTGGGTTTTAGGGGGCGATGCAGGAGGCAGCTTTGCCAATGCTTCCTCTGAGGCCTGCGTACTCTTCTCCTTAGAATTCCAGGAGAGCCCTCTTGGGGTGGGCATTTCTCTGCAGAGGTCATGGAGATGCTGGCTGTACCTGCAAGACACAGTTGGGAGAGAAGGCATGGTTTTCAGTGGTTAGAAGTGGTTTGCAAAGGGCAACACTGACAGCGGGATTAATGTGACCGTCACAGTGGAGTGAAGAGTGGGAATCACTTGGTGGGTCCCAGTCTTTGCTTCTGCGGGCCAGAATTCTTTCCTTGTAGCGACCAAGCAACCAAATGTTAGGCACTGCCCCACCAGTACATCTCACTCTGCCCTGTTAGGGGCTCTCTTCTCCTGTGCTGAGAAAAGTGGGGGACTAGAGTGCGATGCAAGTGGATACACAGGGCTGTTAGTACTGGTGCAGGGTAGTGAAAGATGGTGAGGTGTTCTAAGGGAGTGTGTGCGTTTGTGTGTGTGTCTGTATGTGTGTGTGTCTGTATGTATATTTGTGTGTTTGTGTGTGTGTATGTATGTGTGTGTGTCTATATCTATGCGTGTGTGTGTCTGTGTATGTGTGTATGTCTGTATGTGTGTGTGTGTGGGTTTGTGTGTGTGTGGGTTTGTGTGTGTGTGTGTGGGTTTGTGTGTGTGTGTGTGTGTTTGTGTGTGTGTGTGTGTGTGTGTGTGTGTGTGTGTGTTTGTGTTTGTGTGTGTGTGTGTCTCTGTGTGTGTGTGTATAACCTAGTGAGGGAAGATGTTGCAGGTGGTGTGATGGCAGGGTGTGACACTTGGGGGGAGGTGGCAGAGATCGAGTCAGTGTGTGTTAGCTGAGAGAAGAGTGTGGCACTTCGTCTGGCAAAGCAGATACAGTCATTGACCTTTTTGTGGCTGTGCTGGCTATTCCCACGCACCCAGGTAGTGAGGCTGCCTCTTCTGCTGGTCTTCCAGAAATTCCTATTCCCTGTTGGAGAATCATGATGTCACCTTCCCCTTCTCCACCATCTTCTGATTCTGTCTGTCAGTGAGCAGGATAGCTTCAGAATAACAGTGCCTGCCCAGCTGCACAGCAGCCTGTTCGAGATGGTGTGAATGTAAGGGGTATGCAGGTCTTTCTGCAGTTATCTGGTGAGTGCAGTTATGGTCTGGGAATTATGCGTGGTAAGGTCAGACATGAGGCGTGATGGGTGCGGACTGAGTCATTAATGAGGGTGAGTTTCATAAGATATGGCAAGAGAATTTGCTACGTCTTGTGGTAACCCATCGAGACTGAACACAATGTGGACTTTGCCAAAAAAATGCACAAGTCAGCACAAAATCTGTGGAGCAGCTTTACTGGGGAACTAACCTACCATGAATACTCAGTGAGGAAGAAGGCCAGTGCTCCAGTGCAGTATGGAAGGGCTACAATCCTGCCACAGGTGTCGTCTTTCATCTGGGATGTTAAACTGAGGCCTATCTGTCCTCTCAGGTAGGCATGAAAGGTTGAAAAGGGAGGAGAAGAGTTCCTCTGGTATCCTGGCCAACATTTATCTCCAACCAACATCTAAAAGCACGCTATCTAGTCGTTCTTTTCACTGCTGTTTGTGGGGCCTTGCAGTGATGATTTAGCTGCTGCATGTCTTACATTCAAACAGTGACCACACTTCCAAAATGTTTAGATACCCTGAGGTTGTGAAAGATGCTAAGTACAACTCCTTTATCTCTTCCTTATACAACAATTCAATGTTCACCTAATGAACACTATGCAATTTAATCTTACGTATACAACTTTAAATAACATGTTTACCCACGCTTCCTGCAGCTGCTCCATTAACATAGCCATATTTAAATAAATATTTGGTCTTGTCCACTTCCAGTTTAGGTTGCTTTCCCAAAGATGACTAACATGCAAGGTTGGGGAGTTAGTTACTCAGACTTAGTTCCTCCAGAACTGTTTAGGACATTGGGCAGCAAGACTGTCAGGCAGAAGATACAGAAGCTTGATCGGACACACTAACAGGTTCAAGAACAGCTTCTTTCCTGCCCTTATTAGACTGATGAATGGACTCTCTAACTTCAAATATTGCTGATCTTGTTAATGTTGATCTTGTCTTGCATACATCCTGTGTGGTGTAATCTGTATGCCTTACTCTGTCCAAGTTTTTTTTTCACCCTCTGATCTGTATGTCCTTGCTCTCAATGATCTGCCCATACTGCTCACAAACAAATTTTTTCACTGGTACACGTGACAATAAATAAAATCAACCAATCAATCCACCAATAGTCCTGAACCATTGCAATCTCTTTCATTTCAGACCACATACTGTTCTCCTGTGATGATCCTCCTTAAGTGTACTTCACCAGATCTTCTTTGGCTGCTTTGTCTTTGGTCGTCTGTTGATATCCATTCTACTGTCACTCTGGCTTTTACGTATGTCTGTGAGTTAAGTACATATAATGCCAGTCTCAATCAATCCTCTGTCCCAATGTCCTCTGTGTGCCTCTGCCCAGCCCTCTGTCACACTTCTTGGAGCTTTTGTCTCTCCAAGAGATGCTCAGGATCTCATGTAGACAACACGAGTGGGAGATGTACAACTTAGATGATACCTTTGCTGTATTCTTCTGTGACTTGCTGGCATTGGGTGTTGTTGGTATTAAGATGGGCATATAGAGTCACAACATCATTGTCACATTGAAACATGTGCAGTGTCTGGAAGACTGATGCTACTTTGGTGATTCTTGTGTGGGTATCAATCTCTACCCTACCCTCTCTGGAGATGTTGCTTTCTAGAGTGGGGAGAAGGTCAATGTCCTTGGTGTTGTGTCACCCGAAGGAGTTGGGTGGCTTTGTTGCTGTCCAATCATCGTTGTCTTTGTCTTCTCCCACCTGATGCATAGACCAACCTTGATGTCATTACACTCAAAACTGATGACCATGCCTTGGAGCACGTATGATCCTTCAGTAACCCAGATGATGTCATCTGCAGACTGCAGGTCTGTTAGCGTGTGGTTTTAAAACAGGATGCAAACTTTGCACCCGCCATTACCTTCCGCGTGTTTGTGAGCACAGGTCAAAATGTGTAATGGTTAAAATTTGGAAATGCAGGGGGCTTCCACTCTGTACAGTGTGTGAGTTCATTGTGAGATTCTATTATAATGCAGACAGTAGACACTATGGCAGGGAAAACATGAGGAGATTAGGAGGGAAATCAAATCAATTAGCAAAGCAAAGAAGGACTACGAAATTAAACTATCAAGGAATGTAACATAGAATTGGAAAATATTACACAGACATTCAAATAAAAAGAGCAAATAGGGCCAGAAGAACAGGATAAAATTGCAGGCAGAAGTAATGAGAGCACAAATATATGCAATAATTACTTTGCTTCAATATTTGCTAGGAAGACAGAATTACACATATTTGACTATTAGTTCAGAGGGGTGTGGTGCAAGAGAACTGGCACAAATCTAATGTTACACGAATATTTAAGAATGAGACAGAATATGTCCAGAGAACAAGCAGACCAGTCACCTTAACATCCATGGTAGGAATCAAAGTGAAATCCCTAGTAAAGAATGAATTAGAAAAGCATACAGAAAAAAAATGCAATAATTAATAAGCAACATGGCTTTCAAAAGGAAAAGCTTTGCTTTATCAGTTTCATTAACTTCTTTGAAGAGATAAAAAGTAGACAATTAAGGATAGTACCATGAATGTAATTACATAGATCTCCAAGAGATAGGTGGTAAGGTAGGTAGGTAGGTAGATAGATAGAAATTTATTATTAATTGTATTTGTGAAAATACAGTAAAATATGTATGTCTCCACAAAAACAGCACCATTTCTTCAAAAACCTGCCACATAACATGAATAGTGAATAAGATCATACTTAATCAAGTTGGTAACAGATTGAGTAGCCTGTTGGCTTCATGATAGAAAGTATAGTGTAGGAATAAACGGTAGTTCTCAGAATAACAGAAGGTGAAAAGTGATGGCCACAAAGAATAGTGGCACACTTGCTGGTATTCCAAATTTTTATTAATAATTTAAGCTTTGGATTCAAGAAGGATATTTCTCAATGGCACCAAATTTGGAGGGGGGGTGCGAAACACTGCAACAAGCTGTAAGAAATCATTAATAAGCATGCAGGATGGGCATATAATTGGCTAATGACCTTCAACAGGATTTCTGGGCAACATTCCTGCCCAGAACTTAATTCCTGAAATGAAGAGCAAATAAAATCAGGTAGACATGAGGAGCCATTGTGATGTCCTTGGAGACACTGTTGCATGAGGTGTAACAAAGCAGGATACAGATACTTTGAGCTGAAGCACAGTGTTCTTGAGGCTCAGGATGCTTGGGTGGAATGCACAGATCAGTCAGTGCAAATGAGTAGGACTGAAGAGCAAATGAGTAAGGAATTTCTTTAAGGTCAGTTTTATGGGACACTGTTCTTAACATGCTTTGCCAGTTAAAAGGACCACAAGTTAAAACTTTGGACCGTAACAAGTCTTTTATCAGAATTATGGCCAGATTCTTCCCAACCCACCAGTGAGATAGACAATGACTAAGGAAGTTGGGAGAATCACATGAGATGCCAAATGGAAAGATTCCTGCCATCAGAGCAAAAGTTCTATTTTCCAATCAAACATTGAAGAGTGAGAGAGAGAGAGAGAGGATTTTCTCGCTAATGAGCAGCAAGAGGTTTATTA